CAAACTCACAGCCCGCGGGAAGACAACACGAATTATTAACCTGAGAAATTATGATCCCTTTTTGGGGAAAATAATATCAAATACATTTTGTTATCAAGAGTGCCATCATTAAAAATCTATTAAACTGAACAAATAAATAAATATGTAGTATTAAGTATTGTATGGAATGGGTTTTGAGTTTGACATCTTTGGTATAGAGGATTTAAGGGTATTTGATAAGATTATATTAAGCAAAGTATTGTATGTATGTATTTGTTTTTCATGTAAATTAATTGGAATTAAGGCCATTATTAGTATCACCAATATAATCGGATTTTTTTTTTCTCTCTCTCCTCTCTCTCTCTCTCTCTCTCTCTCTCTCTCTCTCTCTCTCTCTCTCTCTCTCTCTCTCTCTCTCTCTCTCTCTCTCTCTCTTCTCTCTTCTCTCTCTCTCTCTCTCTCTCTCTCTCTCTCTCTCTCTCTCTCTCTCTCTCTCTCTCTCTCTTCTCTCTCTCTCTCTTCTCTCTCTCTCTCTCTCTCTCTCTCTCTCTCTCTCTCTCTCTCTCTCTCTCTCTCTCTCTCTCTATCTACCTATCTATTTCTTCCCCTCCCTCCTCCCTCCTCCCTCCTACCCACCTCTCCTCCTCCCCCCACCCACCTCCCCCTCCCACACCCCCTTCCCCACCTTCCCCATACCCCTTCTCCCCCCCCTTCCCCCCCCCCCAAAAAAAAAAAAAAAACTCAGGGGCCCTCCAGCGTTTCGTGAACCTCAAGAGCTTGAACCCCCGCGTGAAGGTTCTGATAGCGATCGGGGGTTGGACTGAAGGTTCAACCAAGTACTCTGCAATGGCAATGACTAGGGCCTCGAGAAAGAAGTTCATTGATTCTGCAATTGCTTTCATCCAGTGAGTTTTTTTTGAAAGTTTGGATACTTTGTGTGTGTGTTTGTGTGTCATGTAAAGTCATATAAAGTTATTATGACTTGATAAAACAATGGAGATATGTAATATTCTTGTTATTTATCATCGTATTTGTAATAACTATTATTATTATTATTATTATTACTATTGTTATTATTATTATTATTAATGTCGCCTCTTCTAACCACACTTTTATCTTCTCTCTCTTCTCCCCCCCCCCCTCCATTTTCTTTTTTCCATATTTCCTCCTCTTCCTTTTTTTTCCTCCTTCCTTCCCTCCTCCTCCTTCCTCTTCCATCCTTCTTACCTCCTTCAATTCCCTCCCTCCTACCTTCCTCTCCTCCCCTACCCTCTCCCCTTTCTTCCTTCCCTTTCCTCCTCTCCTTCCTCCTTCCTCCTCTCCCTCTTCCTCCTTCTCCTTCCCCTTCCTCCTTCGCTCTTCCCCTTCCTCCTTACTTCTTCCTCCTCCTTCCCCTTCCTCTCCTCCCTTACCCTCCTCCTTTCCCCTCCCCCTCCCCTTTTCCCCTCTCCCCCCTCCTTCCCCTCCCCTTCCTCCCCTCCTCCTCCTCCTCCCTTTCCTCCTCCTGCTCCTCCCCCCCCCAGACACCACCGCCTCGACGGGCTGGACCTCGACTGGGAGTACCCTGCCAATCGAGGAGGAGCCCCTGAGGACAGGGAGAACTTCGTCTATCTGGTTAAGGTACATATACATATATTTTTTTTCTTTTCTTTCTTTCTTTCTTTCTTTTGTTTTGTTTTTAATCTTTATTTTCTGTTTATTATTGTTTCAATTTCAATTTTGATCTGTCACTCCAATGTCGACTTCAATCACAACCTCTCCAGTTTCTATATTAATTCCAATCTCTTCCCCCTCTTCCCCCCTCTTCCCCCCCACACCCCATCCCATCCCCCCATACCTCCCCACCCCCCCTCTCCACCCCAATACCTCCCACCCACCACCACCCCCACCATCCCTCCCCATACCTCCCCACCACCCCCAACACCTCCCCCCTATACCTCCCGCCCCCCTCTCTCCCCACCCACCACCCCCCCTTCCCCACCCCCTCAGGAGCTCCGCGAAGCCTTCCGCCCCTACGGCTGGATGCTGACCGCCGCCGTGGCCGCAGGAAAATCGACCATCGACACAGCCTACGACATCGACGACCTGGCCAGAAACCTGGACTTCCTGCACATCATGGCCTACGACTACCACGGCAAATGGGACGGTCGCACGGGCCACAACGCGCCCTTGTACTCGAGGGAGGACGAGCCGGAGGAGGAGAAGATGCTGAATGTGGTAGGCCTGTGGGGATATTTTTTTATGATATATATATATTATATTTTTTTTGTGATAATTATTTTGTTTCGTTTTTTTTTTCGTTTTTTTATTTCTTTTATTTTTATTATTATTATTATTTTTTTTTTTTTTTGCGGGATGTGTATGGGATATTTTCCGATTAAAAAAAAAAAATTGTGACAGGTGGGTTATGAGATACTGAAATATTTCCCCCTTTTTTTTTTCTTTTTTTTTTTTAAGAACTTGTCTGATAATCCATCAAATAGGCCTATATATATTTTTTTTTTCTGAAAGAGAATATTAAAGCAAATAAAAAAACATCTTAAAGAGAATATTAGACAAAAAGAAACCAACCAAAACATTCACCCCCCCTTTTTTCCTCTCTCCCTCTCCTCCTCGAAGGCCTCCACCCTCAAGGTCTACCTCGACGAAGGAGCACCTCCCGAGAAGCTGGTCCTCGGCGTGGGATTCTACGGCAGGACCTTCAACCTGCAGGATCCCCAGGACAACGGCATAGCGGCGCCCACCCTCACCACCGCCCTCGCCGGCCCCTACACCAAGGAAGAGGGATTTATGGGATATAACGAGGTAAGGGAGTCGTCCCTTTTTTTGGGGGGTGAGGGGGAGGAGGGGGTTGTTGTTTTTTTTGTTTTTTGATTTTTTTCATCTCAGTCTATCCTCCTCGCCTCCTCTTTTTGAAAGATAATATCTCTACCAGTTCAGTCAAAATATAATTGTCTTTAGTACCTTTCTCCCTTCTTTCAATAATAATAATAATAATAATAATAATAATGATAATAATAATAATAATAGTAATAGTAATAATAATAATAATAATAATGATGATGATGATAATAATAATAATGATAATAATAGAAGGGACAAAAGAAACAAAAAATATATATATACAAGTTCCACGTCTATAACTCACTTACCCTGAAAATTCTATTCAATTCTTCCTTTTTGTTTTGTATTTTTTGCTTCGCCCGAATTCTATTTCTGGCTTCCTTATCTCTTCCCTCGGCCCTTACCCCTTTCCTCTAATCTTATCTGTCTCTACATTTATCTCTAATTCCTCTCCCTCTTTCCCCCTTTTTCCCCCACTCGTCTTATTTTTCATTTCCTACCTCTTTCTTACACCTCTCTCTATCTCCCTCTTTCATTCCTCTCCCCTTTCTCCCTCTTTCCATTTTTCATCTAACTTCTCTCCATCCTTTCTCTATTCCCTTCATCTTCCTTTCCCTTTCCCTTCACCATTTCCCTTTCATCCCTTTCTCCCTTCCCTTCTAACTCCTTCTCCTCTACCCCTTTCGCCCCTCCCCCTTTCCCCCCACCACTTCCCTTTCCCCGTTCCCCTCTAATCCCCTCTCCTCCACCCCTTCCCCCACCCCCTCCAAAACCACTCTAACCCCCCTCGACCTTTCCCCCCACCACTTCCCCTTTCCCCTCCTTTCCCCACCCTCCAAAATCACTCTACCCCCCCCCCCCCTTTTCCCCTGTACCCCATCCCCTCCCCCCTCCCCCACCCCCCACCCCTTTTCCCCTCTACCCCCCACCCCACCCAAAAAAAAAAAACAACAACAACAACACTCTGACTTCTCTCCCCCCCCTCCCCCCCTCCACCCATCAAAAAAAAAAAAATCACTCTCTAACCCCTCTCTCCGTCCCTCCTCCCTCTCACACCCACCCACCCCCCCTCCGCCCCCACCCCTCCACCCCCACCCACAGATCTGCGAGAAACAGACCACGGAGAAGGGCCTCTGGACGCTCGTGTGGCAGAAAACCCACCAGGTGCCATATATGATCCGCGACAACATGTGGATTGGCTTCGACGACCCGATTTCCATCAGCCTCAAGGTCGCCTACGCCCAGAAGCTCGGTTTGGGCGGCGTCATGGCCTGGGCGATCGACACGGATGACTTCAAGGGCGTCTGTTCGGATAACAGGATGAAGTGAGTGGAAGGGGATGATGGTGATGGTGGTGGGAGGTGATGGTGGTGAGAGGTGGTGATGATGATGGGGTGATGAGGGTTTAGGATGGTGATGGTGGTGGGAGGTGATGGTGGTGAGAGGTGGTGATGATGATGGGGTGATGAGGGTTTAGGATGGTGATGGTGGTGATGGTGATGAGATGATGATGGTGATGGGGAGGATGATAGTAAGAGTAATGGTGATGATGATAATAGTAGTAGCAGATAGTGATGATGATGGCGATTTGTGGATCAGGAGGATTAAGGATGGTGATGATGATGATGGTGACGGTGATGATGAGAGGTGATGGTGTGATGAGGGTTAGGGATGGTGATGATGATGGTGGTGATGGGGATGATGATAGTAAGAGTAATGGTGATAATGGTGATGATGATAATAGTAGCAGTAGTGATATGAATATTAATATCAGTAATAATAATGATAATGATATGGTAATAGTAATAATAATGATAATGATAAAAAAAATAATAGTAATAGTAGTTGTAGTAGTAGTAGTAGAAGTAATAAAAAGATAATGGTAAAATCATAATGATAAAAATAATCATAATAATAATGCTAACGATAATAATAATAATAATAATAATGATAATAATAGTAATAGTAATAATAATAATAATAATAATAATAATAATAATAATAAGCATTAACGGCAATAATGATAACGATGATAATGATGATGATATTGATAATGACAATGAAAATGAAAATGAAAATGAAAATGATAAAGATGATAATAACGATAAAAAACAAAATGATAACCATGGAGCAAAAAAAACAACAACAAACATACAAATAATTATATAAGCCAAATAAATAAAACAAAACAAAACAAAACGAAAAACAAAATAAATAATTTTTTTTTTTTTTTTCCCTCAGGTACCCCCTCCTCCGAGCCATCAACAAGGCCCTCACAGCGAACATGGAGAACAGGCCTAGCAAGACATCTAGGCCTATCAAACCCAGTCTGGATGACGATGACTTTGATGACAAGTTTGATGACACCAACACCTTGGACAGCCGGGAACATGACTCTGGAAGGTGAGGAAGAGAGGTGGGGAGGGAAGGAGGGGAGGGGAGGGGAGGGAAAGGAGGGGAGGAGGGGAGGGGAGGTGGGGGAGGGAGGTGGGGAGGAGGAGGGAATTGGAGGGAAGGGAGGTGGGGAGGGAAGGAGGGAGGAGAAGGGGAGGAGGCAAGGGAAGAAAGAGAGGGAGGGAGAAGGAGGGGAGGAAATGAGGGAAGGAGAGGGAAGGAGGCAAGGGAAGGAAGAGAGGGGAGGAAATGAGGAAGGAAGGAGGGAAGGAGGCAAGGGAAGGAAGGGAGGGGAGAGAAGGAGGGGAGGAGGAGAAGGTGAGGAAATGAGGAAGGAAAGAGGAGAGAGATGGGGAAAAGAGGAAGAGTAGGCAAGGGAGGGAGGAGAAGGAGGGAAGGAGAGAGGTGGGGAAGAGAGGAGAAGGAAGAGAGGGAGGAGGGAAAAAGGGCAGGGAGAAGAGGAGGAGATGTAGTAAACAGATAATTCAGTTACAGTTAATAATGCTTAAAAATTCTTTCAATATTAGAAATAGAATTCAACCCATAATATAAGGTCACTTTTCGGTAGAATTAAGGACACGTACAATCGTCCTCTCGAAGCTAATCCAGTGACAACATAAAAAAGAACTTTATCATAAAAAGGAAGCAGTCACAGTCAGAAATAAATTTGGGTCATAATGTTTCGAATTCGCCAAGAGGTCCATATCAGACAAACAGACAAAAAAAGAGGGGAAAAAAATATATATATAGGTTATTTCTTCCTTCGAATAGGAAATCTAGACGAGTTCGAAACGTTACAATTCAATTTCGTTTCTTAAGGGTGTCTGTTTCCCTTTTTTAATTATTGTCTACACGATTTACTGTGTTTGTGTTTGTCTAATTAAATCAATAATTTCAACAGTTATTTTTCGGTAGCACTAAGAGGGACATAGCAATCATCCTGTCGAAGCTATTGTTTGTTTTTTGTTTTGTTTTTGTGTGTTTGTTAAGGTATTGTTTGCGTTTTTTAATTTTTGTTTTTGTGTGTGTGTGTGTTTGTTAAGCTATTGTATTTTTTTTTGTTTTTTTGTTTTGTTTTATGTGTGTGTTTGTTAAGCTATTGTTCGTGTTTTATCCATTTAGACAAGAATGCGATAGATTTTGAAAACGACGTAACCAATTGTGACAACTAACGTTCAAACCCCCATTGCAGACCATCCCGTGTCGGAGGCCGCGGAGGTTCTTCTGTTGCAACACCTGCAGCTACTGTTGTGTTGGCACTCCTGCTCACTTCTTTGGCTGCTCGCTAAAGAGGTCTGCGGTTGGCACTCCTGCTTCTATAACGTCCCTTTCGCAACGTCCCAAAGGCCTTCCGAAAATTCACTTTCTCAGAGTTTTTCGAGATTTTTTTCCTTTTCCTTTTTTTTTCAGCTATTTCGGTCCTTAGAGAATTACTGAGATTCTTTTCTCTTTCCGTTGATGGACAGGCACGTTCGGTTTCAAATTCCTTATGTGTTCTTCATTTTCTCTTTCTTTTTTTTAAACTTGAGAAAAAAAAATTAGATAATAGCATTTAGTAAATTCTTCCATTTTATGCCATGCTTTTCAAATCTCACTGGAGTTGCCAGCTACACTTTGTATATTCTTATTTGGTGCACTAAACCTTAAGGTATGAATGCATTCTATAATATTACAACTTTTTTTCAACTATAATAGAACTATTAGTTTAACTGTGATTTTAGAGTTTATGACGTACTGTAATTAGATTAAATATCCAGTCATATCTGTACGGTGATTGGCCGATATCTTAACGGCAAAAATTACGGAGGAACCAATCAGAGAGGAGAGAGAGTCAGCTGATGTTTCCTATTGGCTGATTTTAATGTTAGGGGGCGGAGCCAAGAAAACTAAACTAAAAAAAAAGAAAAAAAATCCTGTATAGTTTTTCTTGGGTGAAAATGACAATTTTTTTTTTAGGCAAAATACATGGCAAATTTATATTTTTGGTTGTCGGTGGAAGCAAAATCGATTCAAATTTGATTGGATTTTCTTATGATAAGAGGTTAGATTTTTTCACTGGACTGTAAATATAAATAAAATTATAATATTACTCACTCTTGTGTTTTATAATTCCCATGATACTCAATCTGTTTCATATCATTTCTCAATATCATCTAATTAGAAAAAAAAATCGAGGAAAGGAACTTAGTAAAACGATAATAACAATAAACACTAAGAACTAGAACAGACCCGTTAATCTCTATTTAAAAACTGATATTATTTTAGTCTCCCCAAAACTTCAGAATCACGTGTTATCATCAACTTCAGTCTAAAAAAAACATTCAACTAACTTCCTACTCTCTACGCAAAAGCATTTTCAATCTACTCTCTCGTCTACCTCACTCTACCACAAATTTGCATACACTCAAACCTTAAAGTCCTCCCCGGGACCTACTTATATATCTAAAATTACCATCGTAAGCTTAACAATTGATCGCTGGGACACAGGCAAGCACAAAAAAAGAAAAGAAAAAAAAGAGAGAGAGAGAGAGACATACAGATACACACACTCACACACACACACACACACACACACATACAGAAAAGTCCTTTGATTTTTTTTTGTGTGTGTGTAATTTTGGTGATTGTAAGATTGATGGCGATGGTAATTATTGTCATAGAAGGCGTGGTAATCCTAATGAGAATAATTAAGGATATTATCAACAGTGCTAATAATGACAGTAATATTAGAAATTATATTAACGATCACAAAGTACTTTTTTTATTGGAAATCTGATCGATAATGATTTTTTTTAAATGAGGATGAAACAAATTTTATGTAGATTTCTCTAAAAGGAAAAATCATCTATACCAGCTTGTGAACCTTGAAGAGAAAAGAAAAGAAAAAAAACTGTGTCCAACCGTCTATTTTTTTTTCTTTTTTTTTCTTTTTTTTTAATGGACAAGCATTTATTGAACTCCACGCATAATATCTTCGTTATAAGATATATAGATTATATATGTATCCGTTACATACTGTATGTAATCTGCATATATCAGTTGCGTAAATATATTTACATATTTAGTTTTATTGGATAGTAATAACTTCTGCTACTGGTTGTCTGGCGTATCACATTTAGCTATTTACACGAATTATAACGAAGACAGAGCAAGATCATTCCCCATAAGAAACAAAAACAGTGAATGATAGATTTTCAATAATTCATTCACGGATATAATACCACAGTAATAGTACCAGAAATATAGTATTTGGTTCATACCTTAACGACCTTCCCATACAATTTCAATTTAATGTTTTCAAATGGTTAATGGTTAATGGTTAAAAGCAAGATAAATGTGCTAGACATCTAAGGTCATGTAGCACTATAGTTAATGTTAGTGAAGGGTGGTTGAGTTAGTGATTAGTTGTCTAAGCTGGGCAAAGGAATTAGTGAGTGAAAGGGTTAAGGTCGGGTGTTATATTAGATAAAGGGTATGCATAAGAAAGGTTTCTTGAAGGCATACAATAGATGGGCTATAAGAGGAAAGGATATGATGGTCAGGTCTGTGGGAGCGGAAACCGCGAATATTCCAATGAAGGATAGTTATACTTTCGTTGATTTAGTGATATAGATTGTAGTACGTGTTGGAGAATTTGAAGGGGAAGCAGCTAGAGGGTGGGATAAGGACTGAGAGGTTTGAGATGGGAGAGGTGTGGGAGTTGGTGTTCTATCAGGAGGGGTATTAGGAGATGGAGGGTCTGAGGAAGGGGATACTTGTGACATAAGGGATTCACGTGTGTATCCAGGAGGGAGTGGAAGGGATAGAGGGGATGGTGGGAGAGTTAATGTGGGCAGGGTTGGGGTCAGGGGGGATGGGCTGTGTTGGGAGGGGGTAGGAGGGTAGGGTGTAGGGGGGATATCGTTAGGAGGAGGATGGATATCAGCAATTACTTGGAGTGTGGAAGGAGCAGGAGTTGTAGGTTGAGTGTCGGTTTTCATTAAGTAATCTTGAATATTTTCAATAGTTTCTTCTGTGGAGTTGGTTGGGGAGTTTTGGGGGATAAAGGATTTCTTGTGAGGGGGGGAAGAGAGGACTGGTGTCTCAAGAGTACGGGCAAAGGATGGTGGGGGTGATTGTGTGGTAGGGGAAGAGGGGGTGGAACGTTTGTTCTGTCTGTTACGGGGAGTGCGAGGAGGGAGAGGGGAAGGTGTTGGGGTTGTAGTGGTGATTGGAGTATCTGTAGTAGAGATTGGAGTTTCTGGATTTAGGATGGCAAAAGAGTTTGACTGGGGAAGGTAGGTGGGGTTAGTGGGGGGGTTAGATGTAGGAGGGGTGGGTTTAGGAGAAGTGTTAGGATGAGCAGTATTACTGGAGTAAGGAGTAAGATAGAATCCACGTCGACGTGCTTCCTGTCTGGCTTCACGCAGTGTGAGTCCGAGTTTGAATCTGAGAGTTGCTACCTCAGATTCAAATTTGTAGGTGGGACAGCCCCTATAAAATACATTATGGGGGCCGCCACAGTTGGCACATGTGCGTGATTGTGCAGAGCAGTTAGATCGGGTATGGCCAGGTTGGGCACATAATGGGCATCTGGCTGTGGAACGGCAGTGTTTGGCTGGGTGTCCTAGACGCCAACAATTTTGGCACTGACGTGGAGGAGGTTGGTATGGACGAACAGGGAGGGATTCTCCTCCTATGTAGACGTTAAAGGGAAGGTCATGTCTACGGAAGGTAATTTTGGCTATGTTAGTAGGTTTCTTTCGATGACCTCTGGGGGGGATGGAATAGCATTGTACTGATGTTGCATCGTAGTCTGTGAGACAGGCAAGTAGATCTTCTCCACAATCTGACCATTCTTTGTCATAGATTGGGCAATTTGTTGGTGAGATTGAGACTGTTCCGGTGCAAGTATTGAGGGTTGGATGGGGTTCTGCTAGGATGGGGTTACCATATAGGTCAGTTAGTTTTGTTAGTGCTATGGCTTGGTTTTCGGATGTTACTGTTACAAGACGGGAGCGGTCGGGTCGGCTACGGAAAGAGACTTTACCTACTTGTTTTTGGAGGCATTGTTGGAAGAGAAGGGTGTTGTTAGAGTAGGGAGCTGTGGGAGGGATCACGAAAAATCGGTCCCATTTGGCTGCACTGAAGAGAGTATTCAAGATTGTTTTAGAGATAGGGGTGGTAGAAGGGCGAGGGCGTGACGAAGATGGAGTAGTGTTGATGGAGGTAGTGTTATGGAGAGGTGGGCTATAAGGCTGTAAGGTATTAATAAGGGAGGATGGGGTGGTTGATGTTGGAGGTTGTGGGGGTAGAGGTGTTGAAGTTGGGCATGCTGGGAGAGTGGAAATGTCCCTTGAGGGTTGATTGTTGGCTACTGTACTAGTAGGCATTGGTGAAGGGGTAGTTATTGCAGTGTTTGGAGCCGTGGTCAAAGGAGAGCCTGGGGTCGGGGAATCGGGTGGGTTTACTTCGTTGGGGCTATTTGATAAAGGGGCAAGCCTCATTGCCCCTAACAGTGGGGATATATTTTCATTACTGGCCATGGGAAGCCTGGATTATGTTGGGGATAAAAGCAGTCCACCCCTCAGGGTCCCCTTGAGGGGTAAGGGCTAGATAACTAAATCAGGGGAATACCGTGACCATGGCTCCCTCAGGCCGTTCAAGACTGGCACAAAGTCAGCCTTTCATCCTTTCAGCACGGCTCTCACACCTTAGGAGGTGGATAGCAGAAGGGTTTGGTGAAGGGACAGAAACAAAAGTGGGAAGGGAAAAAAAAGACCATGCATAATTAGTTGAGTCGAGGGCTGAGTCCCAAGGTTGGGGAGTTCCCCATCATTGGGTCCCAGTCTCCGCCTCCTAAGCCCCCCCACGACAACAACGGGCAAGGGATTGGGGGGGTAATGTTTTCAAAATCCTTGAAAGAAAGATAGAAAGAAAAAAAATAATTGACGAAAATAAGTGTTTTTTTGTTTGTCTTCTTTTCACCTGGCAAAGAATTCTACTCATGCAACCACCTTGCAACACCTAGCAACACGAGTTAAAAGCATGACAGAATTCCCTTTTCTTTTCTCGCTTCCAAATTCCTGAACCTGCTTATAAAGGCCAATATACGCTTTATAACCATTATTTTGTCTTTTTATCCGAGTGGTTCTCTACTACCTGGCAACTAAAAATAATATTCTAGAATTCTGATAAACACAAACTCTTTATTCCATGACTTTCCAAATACGAATTCATTATGCATGTATACCGTCATTACATCCCCTTATATTTCCAAACTTCTCTGAATTAATATACAAAAAATCTCACGCAATTAATGATAAAACTTGTGCCTTGATTGGACGCGGTATATTTAATTAGACGGTTGAGAGGCCATCATCATTAACACCAGTAATTAATCTTGACCTCTTCTTCGTCTTGATAATTACGTTTAGTGTTAAAAATCCCAACTGAATCATATAGGAAGTAGAAAACTCCAGTGTTCAGATACAACAGCAAATTAATGTAACATCAGAGAATAACTGTGTAAAGAAAACGTTTATTTTCTCTTTCAACTTATGGATCACTGAACAATTTTGATAACCACCTGACTACTATTTAGTGGGAAAGGGATACGTGTTGCACACACACACAAACACACACACACACACACACACACACACACACACACACACACACACACACACACACACACACACACACACACACATACACACACACACACATATATATATAGCTTTACTTATTTATTCATATAAGTGTATATATAATACTATATAATCATTAATCTGCTTTTGTTGTCATTCCTTGTTAAGAAGGTTGAAATTTCTATAAATGAGAGAGAGAGAGAGAGAGAGAGAGAGAGAGAGAGAGAGAGAGAGAGAGAGAGAGAGAGAGAGAGAGAGAGAGAGAGAGAGAGAGAGAGAGAATGAGAGAGAAACGGAGAGAGAGAGGGAGAGAGACAGAGACAGAGACAGAGAGAAACAGAAAGATAGAGAGAGAGAGAGAAAGGGAGACATAGAGAGAGAGAGACAGACAGACAGAGAGAACTAAACAGTACACGAACGTGCTATAAACCCCTTCCCTCGTGTGACTCGCGCTGCTGGCTTCC